GACCAGATACAATGAACATTAGGTTGAAGTTAAACCTGCTTCGCAACAATGTTAACCATGTACACACCATTGTTGACGTGATATTCAGTGACGTAAATACATTATGACGTTATACTTGTGACCTTGCGTGTACTATGACGTTATACTTCTGACGTCATCACTAGAAGTTGCTGCTTTTACTGTCCAGCGGTGTGTTACTAATGGGCCATGAAAACTGCATAAGCCTGTGTCTTGACACTGAAAACGTACGCGAGTGTAATAATCTGAAATATACTGACATTTCTATAAATTTCTCATGGAAAAAAATATTTCACCTTCAAATGCAAAATGTATGTTGCTGCGACTATCATAACATGAACATTTTGGAAAAAGAACTTCGGCTAAACAGGGGCACAAACTGTCCAGTGGTCTTGCATGAAGCCTTTGATTGCGTTCCTTAGTCGTTCCAGGATCCGCAGGTCGTGACCGTATTTTCGCCCCGATCGCGATGATTGTTTTTTCTGCATCACATCCACGTGAGTGAGTGAGTGAGTGATATCACGTCGTGGCTGGAATATTGCTAAAAGCGGCGTAAAACCATACTCACTCACTCACTCACTCGCAAGTCTAGGTTACCACAGTATCAGGAAATGAAGAACGTCTCTGGGCTCCTTTTTAGCATATTTTATGAATATTATCTACGAACTGTTTTTTCTGTTTGAAAAGATCATTTACAAAACTACATGCAAAACTATGATGACAATGCTGCAAAATAAATTTCCTTTGGGATAATAAAGAAATTATCTTGTCTTATCTTATCTTATCTTATCTTATCTTATCTTATCTTATCTTATCTTATCTTATCTTACATGTTAGTCTACCATATTTGGTAAGTGAACATTTGGCTACATTTGTAGCGCTTCATAAATCTTGTTTTTTCATATATTTGACATTCTAAAGCATTTACTTGCCAGTTTACCCGAACGTATCAGATCCCATATAACTATATATACACGAAGAAAAAGGTCAATAACAGGTTAAGCAGCAATATCCTCCAATTACACATATCCCGAGCCTTGAACGTCTTTTGACGTCATTTGTATTGCAGATATACGGCTGAAACCTGCTGAAGTTGCTCAAGGCGGTCAAAATGCGTTATTCCACATGCAAATAGTGAGTGAGTGAGTGAGTGCAGCATTATAGTTATTCCACGGCGTGTCAACAAGGCTTAGAGGTCAGCCTGTCTTAAACTTCCACCGGTACTCGCACGTGACTCCCACGAGTGAGTGAGTGAGTATGGTTTTACGCCGCTTTTAGCAACATTCCAGCAATATCACGACGGAGGTCACCAGAAATGGGCTTCACACATTGTACCCATGTGGGGAATCGAACCTGGGTCTTCGGAGTGACGAGCGAACACTCTAACCACTGGGCTACCCCACAGCACCCCACGAGCACGGGTATTGTGCTGACAAAGCATATTTATGGGACGAACAGGGATTCAAACTCAAGAAGGGGCGTTTCTGAGGTGATCTTCAGTAACCCATGCTTGTCGTAAGAGGCGACTAACGGGATCGGGTGGTCAGGCTCGCTGACTTGGTTGACACATGTCATCGGTTCCCAATTGCGCAGATCGATGCTCATGCTGTTGATCACTGGATTGTGTGGTCCAGACTCGATTATTTACAGACCACCGCCATATATACTCATGCCAATAATGGTTGTCACCCCCTCAATATTTTTAATTGGAGGTGGGGTGGGGTTGTGGGGTGACAACCATTATTGGCATGAGTATAGCTGGAATATTGCTGAGTGCGGCCTAAAACTAAACTCACTCACCCCTTGAACACCTTTTTACAGGTACGTAATTTATAACCCAGTAGATGTACACCCATGCACGGGGAGAAATGATGATTTTTATTTGTATTATATTGCTATTCCCGGGTATATTTACGAGCAAAACCTTGTGAATGATTATTTGTTTTTGTAGAGTGAATGACCTGTTTTTATATCTAATGCATATAAATACATATTAATGTCATTTGTTTCAGCAATGTACCTATAATATTGATCAGCTACTGACACGTCAGTGCCCAGGGCATTGCACTGATCACACTTGCACTCTCTCTGACGTCATCCATGCGTGTCCCTATAAGACACGTGACCCGTCACGCTTTCTGACACTGCAGTGATGGCCAAGGGAAAGTCAAAAGACACCACGTGGAGTTTGAGGATGGCCTGGCTTCCAGCTTGTTGATGGGTGGATATTCATTTTTTAAGCTGGGCGGCATTCGGGATACGGAACAGCTGAAAACCGTTTACATACAAAAACATAACACGCACATGTGAAGGATGCTCAAAATGATGCAAATATCGTGTTGTTGGGGTGGGGATTTTATTACATCTGTAAAATAAACAGATTGTTTTGCACAGGGACGAGACAGGTCGCAAATGATGCAGGTTTGATAGATGCGGAGTACAGTGACGTCATACTTATTCGTAGATATAATTATTTATTATCATAATAAATATGATTTCTTTTCATTTTCAGAATGTTGTCAGTTTCAACGGAATAAACTAGTTCGATACATGTCTGTGGTCTCTATGGTAATGTTGTCTATCCGTATAGATATAAATAATTCGTATAAATATATACTAATGATGAATCGTCAGAATTATCAGTGTCGCTTCCTGAATGATATACATCTCATATTTGACATGATATATAACATATATCACGCAGTCGTTTGATGCACTAGATACTGACACACACGAGGTGATTACATGCACAGGTTAATTCATACGCCTGGATGACAATTCCAAACTGACCTCGGCTCGAATCGTTGACTGCCGATTACGTAATGCATTTAACCATCAATCCCATGTGAGAGGTTAAGGTATAATTCTCCATTCCGCGAATACAGACTTAAACATATGTCTGTACGTATTAATAACCAACACCACGAGAGCACGAGCCGCGTGCTGGGAGGCAACCTGCATACATGCAAGAACGTGTCATTGCAATGGCGCCGCTAACGACGAGGGATGAACTTGAGAACAAAGTTTATTTAAGAACAGTTGAATGATTTCAGTTGTGTTTTAGTAGTAGAACACATTTGTCATGCTGAACATTTCAAAACCTGGTCTGTAGCTTGCTTTTAGCTGTTCCTCGTGCGGACGCGGCCCAGTCGGGAGAAATTATTGACCGAATTGTCTGCTTAGCTGTACCGATTTAGGACCCCTCCGTTCTTCAATGCTTAAACGTGTATCTATACAAGATCGACTGTACATTTCTTCGGAATCGTTTAATTAGTCCACTGTTTGTGAATACTGCTATTCGTAACCCTGTCTAATGTCCCTGTACAGCTGTCTTCACGCATAATTACCACATACGTCCCTCGGTATACATGCAGCCAAAACACCTCTACTGGTTAGATATCATCAAAAGAATGTCACTGTGTATAAAAGAATACAGCAAGGCTGCAGAGCTTTCATAAATATATCATATACTTTTCTCACCTAACTAAATCACTGTAATGAACGATAAGAATTGTATCTATTACAGTGTAAGCTGAGAAGCGATACTTCCTAACATCACTGGCTATATTGCGCTTCTCACTACTTCGTCACATCAGTAAGCCCTGTCCGCCATATTGGAGAAATGCACCATTGTAGGATACTTAAATGGCGATTCTACAACTGTCAACAAGACTCATACACCTGAATATAGCGCATGTTTAGGGGATGTTAGTGATGGTATGGTAATATCTAAGAGTAGGCTACCGTTTGGTATGACATAATGCCGTATCGGAGTGTTATTGCTCTGCATGCTTTGGCCTATAAATATCTGCACTGGCTAGGAATTGAGATACGGGCCCCTTTCACAACAATACATGATCACTAAAGTAAATGTCCTTCCACACGTCTCTGTGTTATGAGCAGTAGATTCAGATTAGCATAAAGGTTACTTTCATCAATTGGGACATAAGGCAGATTTTTTTTTCTAAATGTACACACAAGGATGTTTTATCATAATTTCCGCCTATTGTTCGTTATGATGATTTTGTTGTCTCAGAAGCATTATTTTGCTGAAGAATGTATATGTGATGAGTTTGTTGGGGTATATATGTATGTACTATCTGTTAGCAACACCGAGATTACAAGCGCCTACGTGCAGTAAACCTGACAATGGGGTCAGATCTAGGGGTCATGGAAACTGAGAGCCCTTGTTTAAATATTTTCTGTCGTTAAACTAATAATTGCTAGTCAGACATCAAACTACTGTTATATGAACCGCAAAATCGTCTTGTCATATATTCCCAATTACTCTTCATTTATAGTCTTATTAACAATACCAACACCTCCATGTGTAATCACTATACGGATCAGTCTATTCTAACAATAGGGGCGTTTGGGTGGTAAGCCGGCACTCGGTCGATACTAACATGTTGTCTTTTCGACAGTGTTTATAAATATTACACTGCTATATTGCCAGGTTACGTATGGGTTTGTCTCAGACAGTTGCATTGAGGAGAACTTGCGAGCAGGTACAAAATTTGGCCTTTAAGCTAAAAGTGTCCATTCTCATTACCCACTACGAGAAGAGTCCAATTAAACATGAGCTCGCGCAAATAAAGAATGCTTGAAGTGAGAGACGAATATACTGCCTCAAAGTCATTGACAACACGGAAAGTTGGAAACCTAGAGTTTACAACGGGTATGACAGATATCAAATTAGGTGTAGCTCTTTTAACTTCGATGACACAAGCATATCTCTAGAGGAAACTGTTGTTACGAATAAGTTTGGAGGAAACAATTTACTCCCTCTATAAGGATCTAGCCTAATGGGTAATAGGATTTTAGTAATATTATCAATCGAGCTTAAAATTAGCATGTATTGTGATTTATATCATTACTATTATATATCATTTGCAAAATTGTTGTTACGAGTAGTGTATCATTCTTATTAAGGCGAAACGATATTTTCGTTAGCTCCCAGTCCGTTCCCAATGTATGTAGATAGTGCAGAGAGGGCTCGCTGCATCCAGTTAAGATGCCACTACCGATATATTAACCGACTGAAACTTAATTACGGTGGGTTTTGATAGCTAATTGAGTTCATTTGATGTATTTAACATCCAAGTCGCCAACCGATTGCTTCTTTGGCTCATATATGCCCCATTGTTGTTTCTTTTGTAAGAAAATGTTCGCTATTTCATTTGAGCCAACTCTGATGGCAATCCAACATGGCTGCCGCACGAGCGATTTGGACTTATGAGAGGGTCATTGTGTTCGATGCAGTATTTCTCGATACATCTATGGAAATTTGGCAATGTTAGACGCATGATAGTTGACTAGATACTTCAAGAAGCCAAATCAATTGTCAGTTTCGGCTGTGGATTAGCTGACATTATCTGCGAATTAAAAACAGCTGGCGTTTTCGGTGCGAATTCGATTTGTGTTTATCACTATCAGTTCATAACTCCACTTGTGTGAACTCGCTTCATGTCAGTTGGGGAGGCTATTCACGAATGCGCGATGAATGAGTTTCTTTTGTTTGCTCATGAACTTGTGAATATAGGAAGGTACTGCTTCGATGTTAAGATCGTGCTGATGTCAAATCCCAATATGAAGGCCCAATGCCCATAGTATTCTTTATATAATGTAGAAAGGGCATGTCCTTAGATGTGTTTTTTTGCAAGTCAAACAAAGGACACATGTGGGAGGGCCCAGTTTTCTTCCATGAAGACAAGATGCTTGTTTAAATGGATTCTTATCTCTATGCAGAGTGTATGTTTGCATGCATATTTCGCTGCATGTTAGACATCAGTATTTTTTATTTAAATGAACTTTTTTAATGATGCCGACATATGTTCCTGTAGTCTCTATGGCTTGATGTTGCCATTCAGGAGGTGACTAAATTTTGATAAGCTATCTCGAAAATTAAAAATTTAATGAATGTTCGTGAACAAGAGAAAAAAAGCTTATCTCAATGCTAATTAGCTCATCCAATAAACAAATTAATTGGGGTTTTTTCAAATTCTTTTTAAGCCAGTTCGATGTGTTTATTGATAATGATTTCATATACTCTAAAGAAACCTTTTCCAATCATGAATAAATGTGTTCTGTAAACAGTTAAGAAAAGAATGGTTATATCTCTTGACAAGACATTTAAACCTTGTTAATCCGACTGGTACCGTTACCTTGTTTAACCATCACATTTAACAAATTTCCTGTGGGACAAGTCATAGGTGCAGATAAGTGCTAGAATGGTAGTGTAAAGAATTTTAAATCAATTTGATATTTAAACATAGGTATCTTAGTATAACACAATCCTAATTAATGAGGTTCAGTTGTTGGTGATATCAGTTAACATTGATATAGTACGACAATAGCATGTTTAAATTCATATTTGTATGTCAGATACATGGATATGTGATACAAAATAATTTGGTATTTTTAACGGGATGAGCAGGCAGGGTTTATGTTATGTTTTCTGACAAACCTGTTAAAGTTTTTAATTTTGCATGCAATCAAAGTTATTTGAGCAGTGTGGTTAAAGGAAGGAGATATTCTATCTAGGAAGAAATATTGTTTTTAAACAGATGCCATGGAACAATAATTTGAATCAATTCTTTTCACATTCTTCATTAAAAGAACCAAATCTCCAGAATGTCATCAGGATCAGTACAATCAGTGTATATATATATATATATATATATATATTGTATTCTTTGTTCTTGGCTATTTTATGAAGCACCTTTCTGAGATTATTAGGTATAAACTCTCCGCATAAACAGTAAATCACATTGTGGTACAAGTGCCTGAGTGAACGGTTAAATATTGGTATATCAGCTTTAAAGTATTTTGTGTATCAACAAAACTTAATGGTGTAGAGCTGCAGTTGATCAATTTAACACTTGATATGAACCAATATTTAAACTTGAATTTTGGGTCTTCTCATTGTTCCCCTTAAACTTAATATGCAAATGTTCCTGCGGCAGTGAGGTATTAATTTGTTATCAATATTCAGAAATTTATATTGATACATTATCAACATAAAATATTTAAGAAATACAGTTCGCTCTACCACCATGTATAGTGTAATAAAAACACACTTTCGCCCTGAACTATTATAGTTAAAGTACGAGGACTCTTGCGTCTGAGTGCTTTAACGTTATAATAGTTCAGGGCGAAAGTGTGCTTTATTACACTATACATGGTGGTAGAGCGAACTGTATTTCTTTTCTAAGATGCCAAATTTAATACTTTCTAAGGATAATTACGATTAATTTAAGGCAGAAAACAAACGATGGTGTCGGTGACCTAAATTAAGAATCCTCGCTCAGGGCTAACTGGCGCCCTGTTCTATTGATGTGTCTGTGTCGAATTGACACTTTTAACCGTCGTAAAACATAAACGTAATGTTTCCACCAGTGACGTTAGCTGCGTGAAGCAACTGCAAACCAAGAAACGGGATGCAATGGAGTAGTTTACTGTAGGAGGTCGTACGAGGCGATGACAACTGACATGCATCGTGACGTCACTTACATTGTGACGTAATGTAAAATGGTTCGATTTTGAGGGGGCACACTAGAATGGCGCAGTGATGGGATAACGTCATTCAATTGTTACGTCATCAAAAAACTATACCTTTATTGTCTGATAATGTTTGTTTTTTTCGATTGTTCTAACTGCTTGGCATCTTAGAATGTTAGTTATACCATACATAACATCCAGTTGTTTAGGCAGTATCACTATATGATGTTATGGCGGTTGTTATTGTGCGTTAAGCAATTTTATTTCAATGTTATGATGATAAAGGCTGTGTCAAATTATTTATGAAAGTTGAAAGCTGGTGTTATAACTTCCTCATGGACAGGATACTTCCTCTTGTATAACTGTGTCCTGTATGTTGTTGCGATCTGATTCTTACATAGGGCAGGTAATATAGATTCGTTTACCAATGAATCCATTTGATATTATCATTTTGCAGCTGTCTACAACTTTGTTGGAATCTCAAGAAAAGATTTATCTGTGACTATTATTTCCCAAATATTTACTTAAATATTTAGACACTGACATTATAATTGTAAAATGCTTATAACACTACAGATTAGGTTGTGATTTTCCAAGGATAGATAATAATCAATAAGTTATTGATTTCCGCACATGAAGTAAACTATCCTGAGGCGAAGATCAGTTACAAGTGTCTGATCTATTACACAGGAAATTATCATCTAAACATTTTTTAGAATGTGTTGTATCCAGTGATTGACCCAACATCCTATACTAAGGACACTACCAAAAATATTGGGAAAGAAAATTGTTTATTCCTTCAAAATTTGGATTCAGAAGTATTTTCATGTTGTGTATTGAGATTTTGTTTGACATGTTCAGTGAGATGAATTAAGCATTAAAACCTCTGATTATTTTTTATCCCCCCCTTCCCCATTTGAAGAAATGAATCAGTCTGGCCATGTGTTCACCTGTCTACTGTCCGCTTTCCATTTCCAGAGTGAGTGAGTGAGTTTAGTTTCATCCCGCTTTTAGCAATATTCCAGCAATATCACGTCGGGGGACACCAGAAATGGACTTAACACGTTGTGCCCATGTGGGGAATCGAACCCAGGTTTTCGGCGTGACGAGCGAACGCCTTAACCACTAGGCTACCCCACAGCCCGTAATTTCCAGAGAAGAAGTCCTAAACTGTAGCATATTTCTTAACAGAGGTTGCTATTCATATCAGCAGTGAAATAGTGCCTTTTGATGATTAGGGATTTGAATATTTTTATTTTTTTAATGTTTTCATGATGTAGAATTTGACTTAAGATGACAATAGCGGTTATTGCTGAAGCAGTACTCAAAAACCCTCGCGTAAAATTCTCTGCCGACCCATGAAGATTCAGGTTAGAATTGGTCTTCAACAACCCATGCTTGTTGTAGGAACTGACAACAGGATTGTGTTTAGGCTCACTGACTTTTTTAAAACATGTAATTGTATCCCAACTGAGTAGATCGATGTTCATTATGCTAATCACTGGATTGTCTGGTCCAGACTCGATTATCTACAGACCATCGACATATTATATATAGCTTGAATATAGCTGATTGCAGCATTAAACAACAAATTAGCAAACAAAATGTTCTGCCCTTATCAGTAATCACAGTGGTGGTAGCAAAATGTCCTCTCCAGCAGTGACAACTTGAAAACAATAAACGAAAAAATATAGCAACTGGTCTTGGTATTTGCTTGGTGGCAAGAAACCTACCATTAGCAATACATCAAAGGCTAAATGCTAATTCTTTTATTAAACATGTTCGTAATCAAGATCACTATAAGAAGCCATTGATCATAGCACTGTACCAATATACAGTGTGCCAATTTTACACTAGTCCTTTGGTCCCTGGCTAGTAAAAATTCATCAGGACTACTAAATTATAAGTTTGTAGTGGTCCTGGTGGCAGGTGAATTTTGTATTGAAAGTTAAGTAAATCTACGAATGTTATTTTGGACCAGTGAAGTACAGACAGGACCACTAATTATTGTCCACTCACTGGTCCTGTGGTCAAGTGGGAAATTTTGAAACGTTTCTTCCCTGAGTATGTTGGAAAGGGCTACTGAAATGATACTTGTGATGTATTTTCTGTATTGATGTTTATCTTTTGAAAAAGCATGTAAGAAGTTTCTATATTATTTGCATCCTGTAACCTAAAATCTAGGTGCCAACCACTCCGATTTTGGAGGTGCCACACTCCGATTTGTCTATAAAAACTACGATTTTTTAGAAAATACAAATATTTATAAATTTAGAATGTTTGAAAGAATTTTTGTAATTATGTTTGTTTGAGTTAAGAATTATCTTGTTAAGTATGCCCATAGATTGCATATTTCCAGGCTAAATCTAAAGATTTCCATAGGGGAGCCCCCACCATCAAAACGGGCCCGAGCCCCCCTCTCACGCTCACTCCCAACTCGCACCTTCAGGGCTCGGGAATTGCTTTTAGCAAGGCATGATTCCGCTTTCATATGATTCAGGGATGGCATCTCTGAATCTGTGCAGAAATTAATTCCCAAATGATACTTTGCATGT